ATGACCTTGAATGAAAGAATGAGCCCTATTGGTTTTACCCCTTCCCCATACATTTCATGGAAAATGTGGACGTATCTAGCATGGCAACCGCCTGTTTCAACTGTTCATAATGCCAGCAGTGAATTATTTGATGGGTAAGGAACACGAAAGGAAAGAGTGTGAGTTATTACTTAATCTGTCATAGATACAATGGAAGTGCGATGTTCAGTTAACTAATCGTGACCCTCGCAACTGGGAGTCCCTTAACCCAGGGATCAGTATAGAACATAGAAGGGTTTTCTTCTGACTGTCTACGCTCTAGAAGTCTCACTTCTATGTTAAAATCAGGCCTCGTATCTAACCACATAATTACATGTACTTGCGTACAATAATCTGGAGAAAGGAGTACTTGCGGCCAAATTATTGGTGTGTGTGTGTGGGGGGGGGGGGCTAAAGTCCCGTCTAACACCCCCCCCCCCTCTCTCCACTGCTGTTTTGTATTATAGTGGTGTTATTGTTTAAAAGACGCGTATTGTGCAATATATCTCATGTGTTCTCTTTGAAATATGGACGGGAAATCTTCCTTTGTTCTTTTCGTTGAATAAGCAGATTGTTTACCCTCTAGTAGATTGGTTGGAGCTTAACCGTGCAATAACTAAACATGTTCAATGTTATTGCACACTTTTGCTGGTTTACACTAGTTTTAGTAGAAATCATATAGAGAAGTGGGGTGGGTTTTCTGTGCAATAACAATAAGCATGTTGAGTAGGTGTCAATGTTACAAGTCATTTATAGCACGCTTCATGTGTTTACAGGTTTAACATCTCGGCCTATGGCCTCAATATTTAAACCTGTTAACTCATGAAAACCGTGCTATAAATATAACTTGTTAAGGCCAGCTAAATTTTTGTCAAGGTCGCCGAGATGTAAAAAAGGTTAGGGCACGTGATTGTTGGTGAGGTTAGGGTTAGGGTAAGCATCGAGGCTAGGTCCAGGGTTATGGTTGGGATTAGCGCTAGCCCTGTTTACATCTGGTGACCTATGACGAAAAATTGGGCTGGCCATATTAATTAGCACTAACCCTTTCTGAATGATAAGATTCTGCCGAAGTTCGCTTCCACCGAGGGTGAATATGGCAGACAAATTGTATTATTGTACTGCGCTCAGCGCACGTGCAGGGGTCTGTCGTGTGGGAGAAAACCGCGGAGTACCCAGAGTCAACCCACGAGGTTGAGAAGGAAAGTCACATACGTTCACACAAGGGATGGGAACCCCGACCGCAAGCCAGGGGTTACTGGTCAGCTAAAGCTCGACGCTAACATCGATAGTAATGCCATAGGTTTCCACTATCACGATTCGCCCTACGATTGAAATCGTGGTTTTAATCGTGGAGTAATCGTGGTGATCTTATCAGGTCTTATCATATAGTGAAGACAGTCGTAGCAATCAAGTTGATTATATCGAAATGTATCTGAACGTATCTGCACGTACCAGATCGTGGATTCAATAGGAACAATCCTATCGTGACGTATCGCACGTCAGTGGGAACCTGACATAAGGAATTATATTCCCTAAAAATCAAAGACGGGGTATTTTATCCAATATAATTATGGTGCATGTTAGCCAATCAGAATCAAGGAATTTTCAGACGTGTTGCAAATATAAATAATATTTACATTCTATTAGTAAGCGCAGGAGGGGATCACGTGGCTAAGTGGGTAAGACGCTGGTTCGATCCCTGCATTGGCCGAGAAAGTTCATCCAGATTTTCCGGCGTGGTTTCCCCTTGTCAGTGATACAGGACGGAGTGCCTGGCAAGGACAGCTGTCTAGTCGTTCGGATGGGACGAAAAACCGAGGTCTCGTGTACACATTTGCGTGCACGTAAAAGATCCCTTGGCAGTTGGAATTCGATATAAGAGTAGGCCGTAGCGCCGCTGCCCGGGCAAAATTACCCTCATAGCACACTGTATGGCGTATACCCTTCTTCATTAGCCCAGGTTAGGAGCAGAACAGTAGGACGTTAAACCCCATTTCATTTCATTTCAGTAAGCGCAGGAGGACCGCACTACACACAAACCAAAACCTACCTGCGGACAAGACAGAATACACAGACATTGCAATAGCTATAAAGTTAAGTGAATAGATCCGGGGAGCTAGCCGTAAGCACCCACTGCGCTGTACAGTCCGGGCCTGTAATGATACAGACTTCACGTAGAATGAAAAAACAGAATGATTAACAAGAAAGACGTAACAGAGACAATACAACTGATCTTGACGGTGGTCGTCTCGTGAATGGCGATAGTCTGCCAGTTGACATCATGAGTTAAAACGGGTCAGATTTAATTGATAATGCCAACTTCAAGTTTGGTCAAAGGTCACGAGATGTAAACAGGGTTAGCGCTAATCCCAAACCTAGCCCTATTGCTTACTCTAACCTACAATCTCAACAATAATCACGTGCCCTAACCTTATTTACATCTCAGCGACCTTGATGAAAATTAAGCTGGCCTTAACAAATAGATTTAGCCGTTAGAACGTCTAACAATTTTAACAATAAGGGCGGTAGGTCGGATAGAATCTAGGAAAATACTAAAAAAAAAATTAAAATATAATAAAGTGTAGTGAGGAAACGGGAGCAAAGCCCAACAACGAGAACATTCTGCAGTACGAACAGCTTAATCTGTAATCAATTAACACTAATTACAAAACGGACATTCTGGCCAGATATTTTGATTTTCAGGACAAAGGCTGTTTGTTTTCCGGACAAAACGTTCCGAAATTTCAAATTTTAAAATTATTAACCTTTTTTGCTACCGAGCATGTTAATTGACGTTTCCCAGTGATCAGAAACGCCAGTCTCCAAACTGAAAAAAACGACAGATAAATATCAGCTAGGCCACTTTTTTTTTAGCGGGGCTCGCAAAACAAGATCCTAGTTCGACTCAGCCGATAAATCAAAGCAGTAGTCTCACCTGGGTAGTCCAGTTTGAACATTCTTTTTAAGGAGTCAAGTCTTCTTCGCATACAGTAAACCTTTTCGGATAAAAATGAAATGGGGTTTAACGTCCCACTGTTCTGCTCCGAGCTGGGCTGGGAATACGCCATACAGTGTGCTATGAGGGAAATTTTGCGGCACTACGGCCTACTCTTATATCGAGAAAACTGTCAAGGGATCTATTACGTACACGCCAAAGTGTAGACGGGACACGGGACCTCGGTTTTTCGTCCTATCCGAACGACTAGCTCTTGTCAGGTCCTTCGTCCTGCATCAAAGACAAGGGGGAACCACGCCAGAAAATCTGGATTAACTTTCTCGACCAATGCAGGGATCGAACACCTGGCCTCCAGGCTAGCGAGCCAGCGCCTACCTACTTAGCCACCGTGACCCTTTTCGGATAGCTTTTGTTTGGCAACAACTGGACTGATAAAGACGGACATACGCCACGCAATTTGCTATGAGGGAATTTTATCCCCGTGTAACTGCGTTTCCATCTATTTCCAAATACCAGGATGTCTTTAACGTGCACATCAATCTGTAGACTGGACCTCGGTTTTCGTACCACCCGCACCACACTTAATCAGGCTCGTGGTTAGAGAGAGAGAGAGAGAGAGAGAGAGAGAGAGAGGGTACGTCCCCTCGACACAAACTATTGGTAATTTCGGGACTACCACACGGTTCAATTTTATTTAATAATCTGCTTGTGCGTAGGGGTCTTTAGCTGTGGGGGGAAACCGGAGAACCTGAGGAAAATCCACGAGGTTGGACAGTCGACACTACGCCTTGTCATATACAAGAGGGAATTCGAAATGGCGTTAACGTCATACTTCCAAGTAACCGTTACAACTGATATATTTTTTTCTGGGCTTAATCATATTGCGCGAGATTAGATGTTTAGATTGCTTTTGAAAATATGAAACATGCATTATGTAAGAACTAAATGGAGTGCCCATAATCCGGGACTTTTACTGGCAGTTGGGTGGGGTGATGTATTCCCACAATACTGATTTTGATTCAGGGTGTCTAGTTGGGGCGCTATCTGGTAAAGTTATGTAGGTTCATTGATATAGCCCCCCCCCCCCCCCCCGTCCCTCCAAGGAACATCTCACCGTACGCCGCGCCTATGCTTAAAACGATAAAACGAGATCCAGCGTTGATTATACACTTTGGTGTGCACTTAAAAAGATCCCATGGCTGTTATATATAATTCGAACTAAGTCTGGGATCATAGCACACTGCATGGCGTATTCTCGCCTCTGCATTGTCGCCGCTATAGTGCAAAAAACTAGGACGTCAACTCCATATCATTTACGGTTAGGGGATCACGGTGGCTAAGTGTGTAAGACGCTGGCTCGCTAGCCTGGGGGTCGTGTGTTCGATCCCTGTATTGGTCGAGAAAGTTCATAGGATTTTCCGGCGTGGTTCTCCCTTGTCAGTGATGCAGGACGGAGGGCCTGACAAGGACAGCTGTCTTGTCGTTCGGATGGGGCGAAAAAGTACCGAGGTCCCGTGTAGGCCTACACATTGGCGTGCACGTAAAAGATCCCTTGACAGTTGCAATTCAATATAAGAGGCGTAGTGCCGCTGTCCGGGCAAAATTTCACCCATGGCACACTGTATGGCGTACGCCCGTCTTCATTAGCCCAGTTCGGAGCAGAGCAGTAGTAGGACATTAAACCTCATTTCATTCATTTCATTTTATTTAGCCTACGGTTAAAGCCAAAGGGCAAAATTGTCATAAAGTTGTCGGGGAAATTTGTAAAACTTTGAGTAAGTTGTCTTAGAACTAGAAGCCCTTAAGAATTTGGAATAGCTTGCCGATTAATGTCGGAGCAACGGTATTGTGCACAACTCTGATTTATTTGTTAGTAATTAAAAGCGGTAATAGCCAAAGACGTTTCGTGCAATAAAATTTTAATCTGTTAAACAGATAGCATTTGAGTAAAGGGAAGTAACTCCATTTAAAAGCGCACGTGTTCATAGAGTTATGTCCCACAAATCGATTAACACATAGAGGGCGCTCGATTGGCTTTGTTGCTTGTCGACATATTTAGGAAATGTTTATGCAAAATTATCACAGTAATCCAGAATTTCTGCGTTTATTTTGTCGGTAGAATGGTTTACAACGTATCCAGGAACCTGCAAAAATAAAACACTTGAACTGACGAGTGTTGTTTTCCTTTTTTTTTCACTGTTTTGTTGTTCTTTTAAATCCCCAAATTTTCAGGGTCTTCTAAAAGCCAACTTCCGGTTTCAGCACGGTCATGGCTTTACCACCAGAGGTAAGATTGTACAGGATTTGTGGCAAAATCAGTTAAACCTGTTACTTGCTTGCATCATCACTTTATAGCATTGTATTTTATTTGTAAAAAAAGTGTGCAGATATCCCTGCTGTCTTCACTAGCTTCTTGTTTACTTTTTTTTGTGCTGTGGCCAAGGCCCAAAGGAAGGCCAAGGAGGAGGATAAAATTTCACTTCTGAATTGCACCTCGTTGAATGAAGGAGTGAATTAGACCAAGTAGAATTTGGTTAAAAAAAGATATAAAATAGTTATGTTATCCTGAGAATTAATCATGAATTTCTACCTTGTTAATATGTAACAGGCATCGCCTGAGTAGAGTGAAGCTGATATGATTGTTGTTAAATATAATGTTGAATAATCACGTTTTTCTGAATTGGTTTTAATTTAGATCTAATGTGTGACGTCATTGATTAAATGCGTCATAAAAATATTTCTATGAGACGCGTAATCTCGTTTGGGCGAGATTTGGTAAGTTGGCATGCGCATTGCCATTTTTGCCCAGTGTATCCAGTTCTGGTCTGAATTTTTTTTTAATCAACAGTCTATGGTGACAGTTTTAGTTACGCTCCTGTGTTACCGGAAAAGAGCTTTGCTCAAGCACCACACTTTGCGCGGTGCTTTAAAGCTTCACTCTATATTAATGTTAACTCCAGGATCAGCTGTATCCTGCCCCTGGACCGAACGGTCGTGTCATCCCCGCAGAACTGCAATGCAGTAGGGTGGTGTAAAAACTGCAGTAGAAACCATGATTTGGCAGTAGATTACCAAAAGCACATAAATTCGCACTTCCAAGGGTAATTCATTGAGAAATGATACATTTAAATAGGCCCAACGAGACAAAAAAGAAATTTATTTTTTACATAATTTTTTTAAATGGGTAATAAGTAAATATAAAATAAACACAAGCAATGTTAACTATATAAAATTTATGTAATTAATCAGATAACTATGATTTAGAAATTGAAAATGTAGTCTACAGAAAGGCATAATGTCAAATAGAGGTCTGTAGGCTAATTATGACGAGATTACCACTTAGCTTAGCACGATTTTAAAAATGTCCTTATGTTCCTCATTTTGGAATTTTTTGTCAATATTGTTATATATGTACGATAACTGGTATCAGATTTTATAGTGTTTTTACATTAAGAATATTAGGGGAGGGGGGGCGGTGAAAAAAGAATTATTTTGCATAACTGCTAATCTAATATAGTAATATAAGCATCATTCAATTTAATCAACTCCCCCCCCCCCATTGGCGATTATCCTCTCACAATGTACAGGAATTTTTTTCTCCCGATATTCCGAAAATCTGTTTTTATATTTATTGAGGTTATATTGTATTCGGAATATTTTATTTGATGCTGTACGCACGCAAAAAAAAATTTTGGCCATTGCTGCCGTAAACAGGTCGCTATTTGTTTATTTTATTCAGTACACATTTTAAGAGTATTGGAAAAAGGTCAATAATTATATAAGCTTTATTAGATTGGAAACTTGTGATTACAAATCTTATAGTTAAATTACACCTTAATTACCCCAAATAGATGTTGATAACCAAGAGTCACGACCTTTTGTGTTTACATGCAAAGATTTCAAAGAGTTGCATCCCTTAGCTCCATAGTTTTGGCGTGAAAATTGAAAAAAAATCTTTCTTTGAAAATGCGGTATAAATCTATTACCACGCAGTAGTGCATGAGGCGTTTTCGCAGCACTGTAACGTGTGATATAAGAGTTGACAAGTTGCCTGGGAATAAATCAATAATCTTGTCCCATGTAACCAGGTAAAGGCAAGTCAGATCACGCGATTGCTGAGTTATAAGCTGTGATTTGTGTTCGTGGTTTTAAGACATCATGGACTACAAATCACAGTTTTACCTCCTCTTTAATTAAATCTACAACGATGGTCTTTATTTATCACAACGATAAAATGGCGTGGAAAGACCTGTGCAAAAATCACCAGAAAACTGTGTAGGACGCAAGTTGACGCAACCCCATTTGTTTCATGAGTTGTTTAAGAGATAAAGCACAGCCTTTTTAAAGAAAAGTCAAAATTAGTTAAAAACTGCCCCAAAGTACAATAAAATGCATCAGATATTCCGCTTGACTGTAACTCACTCATATTGGTGGATTATAAGTCCTGTGCAATGTCACTACAAATAAATCAGGAGTAGTTTGTCTTGGCGAAACTTCACTTTGTGCTGAATGACAAACTTGTGAACTTCCATAATAAGTTTATGTTATAACAAGTGTAAATATTAATAAAGAATTATTTAAGAATTATTTTGTTTGTTGTTAAGCCATACATGTATTTAGAAAGAGTTTTTAACAACATTAAGTCTAGGCAAACCAGAATAAGTTATTGTCATTGATTAACTCTTGAACTGTCACTTGTTCCATATGGAATGTTAATCAGGAGGCCATTTTGCAGGTCATGACCTATAAGTAAAAATGTCAAAAAATGTTAAATATTTTATACCACTGAATTCAAGATCTTTCCAAAAATATCTACATTTGTATGATTTATTCTTAAATTTAAAGAGTTACAGGATATATTCTAAACGGTATGATTTTCCTAGTCGAAACCCCAAAACAATCCGACGGCTAAAGGGTTAACCATTAATCCTACTAAATGTTGAATAGTCATAGTAGTTTAGAAATTGTTTCATCAAATCTGTTTACATAATTTACTATAAACAAAAGTTATTTTGTTTGCCAACGTATTCAAGAATTAAGAGATACTAAACGTATTTTCGAAATGTGGTAATTTGTAGATAACCATAATTACCAATATAGAACCTGGTTGTTATTGTATTAATAACAATATTGTTATCTCTAATTTAACAACTGTTAATATAAGTTTGAAAAACAAAGATCTTCTATTGAAGACTCAATGATATTCCAGCTGATATTGGAAATAGAAATTGCCTTTCTGCTTAGATAGTTCAAATTTCAAATCTGTGCTCACAAACGTTTTTCTGAGACTCTCTGGACTCAACATATATTTAAAGTCACTTGAAGCAATGAATAAGATATAGTCTTTGAGAGATGTAATAAAAATTGTTTTCGTTTATTAAATAATACATTTCTTGTAGATCATAGCACATGTTAACTTACTGTATATTATTATTGTTGAAAATAAGGCCTCCGGGACTTTAAATATTATGTACAAATAGGTCTCCAGTCGTTTAGATATTAGGGACAAATAAGGCCTATGGTACTTGAAATATTACAAACAAATAAGGCTTACGGTACTTGAAACATTACAAACAACTAAGGCCCAGGTATTTTTGAATTAGATATAGACTGATAGGCCTCCGGTATGTGAAATATTGTAGACAAATAAGGCCTGCACTACTTTAGATATTATAGACAAATAAGGCCTGCACTACTTTAGATATAATTGACAAATAAGGGCCCTGGTACTTAAGATATTACAGACTAATAAGGCCTGCAGTACTTTAGATATTAGGGACAAATGAGACCTCCAGTACTTTAAATATTACAAATAAGGCCTCCGGTTGTTTAGAAATTACAAACAAATAAGGCCTCCAGTTGTTTAGATATTACAAACAAATAAGGGCCCTGGTACTTTAGATAAGGCTTCCTGTACGTGAAGGGGGGTTGGATGGCTTAATGGTTAGCGTGTGCGCGCTGTATCATAAAGTCTGTCATTGAGTCGACTGGCGTGGTTTCGAATCCCCGGTTGTACGTGACAAGGAGTAGGGTCGCCTGTCCAACCCCGTGGGTTTTCTCCGGGTCCTCCGGTTTCCTCCCACTGCTAAAGACCCCTACGCGCAAGCGAACTATAGAAATAAAAAAATTAAACCATATGTTAGTCCCAAAATGACCTAGTTTGTGTCGAGTGGACGTTAAACCCCATTTCTCTCTCTCTCTCTCTCTCTCTCTCTCTCTCCCTGTAGTGAAATATTATGTGTGTAAAATATATTAATATATTGTTATATTGATTTACAGGAACAAGGTTATATAGCTGATAAAATAGTCAAGGCTGAAAAACGAATTAAAGCTTTTCCATATGATACAGAAGCATGGAGTATTCTAATCAGAGATGCTCAGGTATATTTTCTATTGTTTTACCTGTAGTGGCAGGTGCTGGTTGTTCGATTAAGGTCTGTCGTTCGGACAAGTGGTGTGGTTTCGATTCCCATTTTGTATTCAACAAGGAGTAGGATCGTCTGTCCAACCTTGTGGGCTTTCTCCGGGTCATCCGGTTTTCTCCTACTGCTAAAGATTAAAGTGAATTATTGAAATAGAATTCTACCATATGTTAGTCTCGAGATGACCTAGTTTGTATTTAGTGGATGTTAAACTCTCTCTTTTGGAAATAAACCAGTGTACATTGTGTAAGTTTTGCTGGATTTCGGGGGTTATCCATAAGAAATAGGTTATTCATATAATTCAAGAATTTTGTACTTTATTGGAATAGATAACAAAATTCGCTATTAAAATCACAGTAAATTGCTTTCTCCACAAATCCATTCTCTTGATTTGATATTTGTTGTTTTTTTCTTGCAATGTCTATGTAGTTTGTCTTGTCCGGGGGTTTGTCTTGTCCGGGGGTTTGTCTTGTGTGTGGGTTTGTCTTGTTCATGTGTTTGTCTTGTCCGCAGGTTTCTCTTCTCGGTTATGTTTTCGTGTAGTGTTGTCCTCTAGCACCCACTAATATTATTTTCTGTTTATTTTAGATGAAGAAGATCGAGGACGGAAGAGTTTTATATGAGCGATTAGTGGAACAGTTCCCCAACGCTGGAAAATATTGGAAGATCTATATTGAACAAGAGGTTAATAATGATTTTTATTCTAAATTTTTATAACAGTAAATTATAAATATTCGCTGGAAAATCCACATATTTTTGACACTGTTGTTTAAAAAGACTACCACGAATAATTGGAAGTTGTTACTGTTATTGTCACGAAAGAGCTTTAACATTACACAAGCATGGTTGGATCATTTTGGCCCCTTAATAAAACTAAGCTGACATTTTAGGGCTCGAATCTAGCAGACTTTTTAGCTGAGATGTTTTTCAAAAGTTTATTTTTCTCGAAATAATTCTAAAAATGCTATCCTCAGAGTATATTCCTGTTTTGGGGGTTGGATGAACGAATGGTTAGCATGTGCACGCTGTATCATAAGGTCTGTCATTGAGTCAACTGGCGTGGTTTCGATTCCCTGGTTGTACGTGACAAGGAGTAGGGTCATCTGTCCAACCTCGTGAGTTTTCTCTGAGTCCTCCGGTTTCCCTCACTTTTAAAGACCTATACACACAAGCAAATTATTGAAATAAAATTGAACCATGTGTTAGTCCCGAAATGACCTAGTTTGTGTCAAGTGAACTTAAACTCTCTCTCTCTCTCTCTCTCTCTCTCTCTCTCTCTCTGTTTTATCCATATAGCTATGAGATAATTTTCCTGGTAGAGAGTAATTTTAATTTACTGTTAAATAAAATGTTTAACAATTTGATAAATCTTTTCAAATCACATTATTTATTATGTTTTTTTATATTTTTGCATAATTTATGTTAACATTAGCAGGTGTTGTGTTGGGTTGTTTACATTTTTATTCAAACTAGAATTTAAAAAGTTTGTATAAAAGAATCTAAAAAGTTTTCTGGTGTTTCGTAGTCTCTTCGTTGTTGTTTTAATTATGAATGTTGTGAATGAAAGGAGGATAAGGATTGTTGAGAAGAATAGGGTTGTTGGGAGAGAAAGAATGATGGGTTTGTTGAGAGAGAGATGGATGAATAAGATTCACAGCTGGTTTGTTTTACTTGTTATTAGGAAGCCGATTTATAGAAGCCATTAGCTGATTTTTAGAAGCCATTAGCTTGTTTCGGTATCCCCTAAATGAAATATTGTTTAATTAAATAATTACAAAAAAACCAAATTGATTTATGTTCAGGTTGGCCTACAAGACAGTAAATGAATACAGTGTCACCCCAATTTCCGTTGTCACCCCAATTCCCGTTATCATTCCAATTTCTGTAGTCATCCTAATTTGTGTTGTTGGGCTCAACTATTTATAAGCTTGACCCTCACCATTTATTTTATCAGTGTGTATATAGTACGGACCAAAAACTTGAGTACGACGTTATCACAACCCTCTTGGAATTGTGCATACTGCACGCAGAACATCAGTTACATCAGGTGATCATTTTGGGGCGGGACTTATCGACTGCCGTACTGCTTTGTACCCGAAGCACATGGTTTATGTAAACAAATGTCAAGTTAGCGAAAATGTCGACTTTTGCCACTCCGGTAAAAGCGATATATAATATGTGCTAGTGAGTAATATTGCAATACAGTCTTTACCATTGTAAACTGTCTTTATAGTTTCAATCTGTTTATCTTTCAAAACAAGGTTAGATACTCCTAAATTTGTCTTCGCAAACAAGACTGCTTATGTGAAATTATCTTTCATGGACGCCGCCATATTGAATAATTAGTGGACTATTTTGTGATTCCGCTCTGATCAGTTTGACATCTTTCATACACACAACGGCTAAATAAACATATTTAATTTCATTCAGTATGAAAATAGAAGAGAAATAAATACTTCTAAAAATTTCTAAATGCATACTCAGTGTTTTCGACTAAAATCGTTGATGTAGGAATTAAAATGTTGGTTAATTAGCTTAGGGCCTATTCTCAGGCGGAGCTAGCTGTAGACAGGCAGCCTAAGTTTGGGATGGGAATTGTGATGTCATATCATCCCAATTCCTGTTGTCCAAGGAACAACATGACTAATTTTATTCAATCGTCCATCAACATTAATTGGCGGAGCCTTAATATTTTTTGATGAGGGTTGCCCCAAACAAAACAAGATGAGTAGTGATTGGTTGCCAGTCCTGGCTCCAAAAATTAACAAAACATTTCTTCATAGGCTGGAACAGGTTTACGATCAGGTCAGTCCAAGGGCGGATCTGGGAATTTTTGCAGGAGGGGGTTTGCCAGGTTCCTGAGAAAATGTATCCCCCCCCCCCACCCCACGGGTTGAAATTTTTTGAGAAATACATGGTCTCTATCGTCATTTTCGCGTGTATACATACACATTGACCTTTTTAAACAGAGAAATCCAACATCCTGTTTGACGTCAATTTTTATTATGAATTAATACGATGACATTGTAATTCAATTTTATTGATTTTTATTGATGCAAAGCATTAATTGTGATATCACATATGTCTATATCATTATCTCGTGCTTTGAGTGCCCGTCCTGTCGCACCATCTGATGATAAAGGATAAAGCACAATTATGATACTTTTCTCATAAAAAAGGTTGTTTTACAAATTTTTTTATGTAGCTGAGCGTGGGGAGGTGGGGGTCCCAACCCCCCTCTGGATCCGCGCCTGCAGTCGAAAATATGCTTCACAAGTTGTAGTTGGATCTTCCAGTTATGAAAGTGTAAAGCTAAAAAAGAAACGAAAGTAGGATCTAATTATATGTTAATTAGAGCTTCCATGACTGTCTTTACTTCTAACACATCCTCATTAGATCATACGGTCTTTCATTGAGTCAAGTGGCGTGGTTTCAATTCCCCGATCGGACGTGAGAAGGAGTAGGGTCCCATCCCATAACTCAGGTTCTTTCTGTGGGTCGTCCGATTTCCTTCCACAACTAAAGACTCCCAGGTCGGTCGATTATTGATGAAATATAATTTACTATATCTTAGTCCCGAAATGACCTAGTTGGAGTTGGGAGGATGTTAAAGGCCTATCATTTCTGTTCGCTCAATACAGAATGTCTGCTGGCTTATAACTTATAGATCAATGAGATTTCAATTCAACATGATGAACGGAATTGATCAATTTTGGACCAATATTCCTATTGTATTCTTCACTGGATAAGGCACACTTTTTTTACCGAAGAAAGTGTGTGCCTAATGCATAATGTTAATCAAATCCAAGCTTTCCTGTGTCGACAACGAAGTTTGAAATTTACGAAATAACTGCTGAGAATCAACACATGTTGACCAGGTGACGCTACCTCAAAAACTTATGATATATTATCACCCAAATTAAATACAATACTGTTCGAAGTCACTGTTCCCTTTTATGTCCATTTATACTTGTCAATAATATTTTAGATAAGTTTAAAATATGTCAATAATTATTGCCCATATTTTTATCGTGCATAAAAATGATGGCGACATAGTCTGCTATAAATGATAGATTTATCTTCAATTTGTTGCAAGGGATTCTTATGGCTTAAAATGATGAGCATAGACTATGCTTGGAATAAACAAACCAGCTATGAGTGCAAAAATTGAATGAATGAAAATGAGATTAGTTTTGAATGAGAGTTTGTAGTTCTTGCCCAATAAATAAAATATCATATTGAAAATAACGTCTAATTGATAGCATGACAAACTGCACACATGCAGACCTGAAAATATTGACTTTTATCGTCAAGAATTAATTGATCAATGTAATTCGTGCCACCTCGAGTATAATTTTTGATTGGCTGAAACATCCAGATGTTATTGGCAGAACAGCCAGGCAATCTTCACGGCACGCGATAATTAAGTGACTTTTTAGTTCTGTGTTTATTATTATGGCTCAAAGGGGGGGGGGTGGAGCTGAATGGTTTGCACGTGTGGCTGTATCATAAGGTCTGTCATTGAGTCAACTGGCGTGGGTTCGTTTCCCTGGTTGTATGTCCAATCTCGTGGGTTTTCTCTGGGTCCTACGGTTTCATCCCACTACGAAAAGACCCCTACGCACAAGCGAATTATTCAAATAAAAATTGAACAATGTATTAGTCCCGAAATGACCTATTCTCCCGTCTCTCTCTCTTTCTCTCATAACGGTAACCTTGTTTAATTGCATACATTCAAAAAAGGGGGGGGGGGTGTTGGATGGCCGAATGGTTAGTATGTGCGCACTGTATCATGAGGCCTGTCATTGATTTAGCTGGTGTGCTTTCGAATCCCTGGTTGTGCGTGACAAGGAGTAGGGTCCCCTGTCCAACCTTGTGTTTTTTCTCCGGTTTCCTCCCACTGCTTAAGACCCCCTACGTGCAAGCAAATTATTGAAATATGAATGACCATGTGTTAGTCCCGAAATGACCTACATGTAGTTTGTGTCGAGTGGACATTAATCCCCATTTCTCTCTCTCTCTCTCTGTTTAATTGCATAGATTTAAAAACCAGAGTGTTGTTCAGTTATCAGGTTTAGTGAATTAATAGCAAGTATCTTTATCAGGTACCACAAAATGAATTGATAGCTCTTGCAAAGTATTTGCAAGTTTGTTTAAAAGTGCTCTCGCAAAGTTTATGGGGGTGCTTTTTTTCATGCTCGCACATTTGATAAAAATGAGGCCTGGCGTAGACATCTTGTTTTAGGGCTAGTTACCTCCCTTAGACTTTGTTCATGATAATGTAAAAGACCAAATAATCTAACCTATGACCTATTATTCTCAAATGTTGACAACCTATGCAGGTTAATATTCACAGAATTTTTTTCTATTAAAACCCTGATAATAGACAAGACAGAATGACAGGCATTAAAGAGACTGTGTTCAACAAAACCAGGTTCCGAGTACACCAAGCATTCTCAGACCATAATCAACTCCCAGTGCCATCTGATGGGTCCAATTTTAAGCAGATTAGAATGATTCAACCATTTAATGATTTATCGTAAAAAGTGAGGCATCCGCATAGCCTTCTTGAACAACCAGTGCAGTCAAACCTTCAAAGGCAAATATCTTCGCTCAGAATAAAGTAATTTGAATGAAATTTGCAATATATTCATTTTGCATTATCTAATTTTGAACTGTTATAG